TATATATATATATATATATATATATATATATAAATAATATTTTGTAAAAAGCTGACTGTGCTTTAAAAATTGATACTTGAGGGAAGGATGTTTGGCCAATCGTCCTGCGGGTTTGTTCCACAACAGATGCGTTGTTTTCTGCCGTGTCCTTAATGTCGAATAATCGTCTTCATTCGCTGGTTCTTCAGACGTACATTCGAAGAATTCTTCCTCCTCTGATTCTGCTAAAATTAAATGGAAAGTCAATTGAGAAAAAAGAAATTAAATTTAACAAAGGTCAAATGTTGTTTTTTAATTTGCGTTTTACTCGTGCCGTTTTCCCCCTTTTACGATATAATTTCATTATTTCATTTGTCCAATTTACACGTAGGACGCGCGAGATATCTTTCAGCGTGCTTGCGATTACGTCGTATCGTGAATCTTTCTATCTTTTAAACTTGAAAAAAATAAGTAATTACGTATTTTATATACGCAAGTGATGTTTTATAAATCAATTTACGATATGTGACAAAGCTTAATAAAACTTACAATTATTGCAAGCATCCAAAATTTTATCATACTATGAAATATCAATTTCATCAGCCAGTATACAATACAACTAAAACTTTGCTTGGCTGCGAAGATAAAATTTAACAAATTTGTCGTTGTCTCGAAATTAAATTAAATCAAATTACACGTAATTAATGTAAATTTTGCAGTAAATTTTGCAGTAAATTTTACCTGTTTCAAATTCGTCAGTGTCGACACTTTGAGATTTATACGCCATTTCTTCTCTCGCCTTCTTTTTCTCGATACAACAGTTCATCATCTGAAAGAACAATAGACGATTAGTTTTTAAATTTTTACTGAAAAATAATACAGATTCTAATCTGAAATTCTTTCGCTACACAAATGTAAATTATTTTTGTTAGATTAAAGTTATTAAATCAGTTTTAAATTTTTATTTAAATTTTTAAAATTAATTAATTTTAAAGAAGAGTCGACGTAATGCAAGAATTTTACCTGAAGTTTCTGATGTAATATACATGTCCTTATACAGTCTGGAAAACCTGGGCTCACTCTTAAATAACACAGATTTATTACACGTTTTAACGTTTTGCTACAATTTATACGAGAGTAATTAGTCGTAGTATCTTTGTCGTATATACGTTAAAAGCCAAAGTTTCTATCAAATATACGTATTTATAACAATAGACAAAATAATCGTGGAAATAATTTTCACAATTTGTTGGACTATAACTAGTATTATATGTATAATAAATAGAATAATAAGAAGAATAAATTGCTAATAAATTAATGAATTTTTATAATTCTTATACTCGTCGAGAAACGACTGGCATGTTTTTAATACAATCGATGGTTTTATATCGGACTATGAAGATACTTTGAAATGAAGAAAAACTTTCAGTATTCAGTTTCTATCTACCTTTATCTTAATTCATCTCCGCGTAAAAAGTCTATAAAGTCTTTAAAATTTACAATTCTTCAATAATTTCATCGATATTGTGATTCGTCGGTGTATCGTATTTACTCTAGCAATATAATCGCGATAATCACTCGCGAAATTTCAACATGTTTCACATACGTAAGCTGTAATTTGTAAAAGATGTCTTTACGATTTGGCTACTTTTGCTACTTTTGCTACTTTTACACGTAGATATATATCTTGAACCGTTGAACCATTGACGTCTCTCGTGATTATTCGAGCGTTTGAAACAAAAAAAAAAAAAAAAAAAAAAAAAAAAACTAGTTCTTAACGTAACGTGTGGCGATGCCTAGTAGCCGCCAAAAGCTTTAGGTTGGCTATACCGAATGCATTATACCGTATCACACACTACTAACCAACTAACCACCGTACGCATGTACGTAGTACGATTTTGAAAACGCGCCAAAGATCAATCGAATAATCGCGCGAAATATCGAGACGACAGTAGAGTAGTAGTCGAAGGGAAATTCGTTGTTCCCGAAGACACGTGCATTCTATCCTGCCCTACCTCAGCCTGCACCGCTACGACGAGCGAAAGACTAAAGCATCTAGAGGGGGTCGAACAGCGGCAAATTCTTGCAGTCTAGTCGAAGACGGTGATGCCGATGCTACCTAGCTGAACTTAACGGTTCCTCAGTATCCAAGTACGCGACTCGGTGTCGTTGCTCGCGAGTTACGCGCGT